GGGGGGGGGCTTTTTTTCTTTTAGCAGTTTTTGTTTTATTAACTTTGGAACATACAGAAAAACGCTCAGGAAAGGTCACAGAATTCCTGTACACCCTTTGCCCAGATTCACCTGTTAATGTTTTGCCCTGTGTCACCTCCTTTCTGTCTGCTTCCTCTTCCCCTTGCATTGCCTATGGTGGGGGCGAGGGGAGGAGTCTGGTTCTCTGGCTCTCCTCCTCTCCTCCAACTCCTTTCTCCTGTCCTTTCTCTTACTCTCCTCCCTCTTCCTCCCTTTACCCAGTCCCTGTCTCCCTTTATTTCCCTTCCCCATTCTCTTATTTCCTCTCCCTTCTTTTTTCTCCCTCTCTCTTTCTTCCCCCCTTTCTGTCCTTTTTTCTCTCCTCTCCCCCTCCTCCACTTTCTCATATACATACCTGTATCTTAGCTGACTCCTCAAGAGACTAAGTTGGACAGTCACACCATTCTCAGCTCCATATCATGGACTCGGTGCCATCCCTCTTCACCTCCCCATCCCAGCACTCCATACTGTGGCCTGGGTCCCATCCATCTTCACCTCCCCAATTCCAGCAATGTCATAGGTCTTCTCTTCCCGCTCTGGATCCAGAAGAGGACTTCAAGTTGCACTGAGTTACTGTTTCACTGGGTCTGTGACTTACTTGGCATTTATGGCCTTGAGACTTTGGGGGAACCCAGGCCAGTTGTGCAGGACATCTCTCTGGTTCTGCCTGTCCTCATGAATGGATTAGGGACTACAGAATGCAGCAGAGATGTTAACGATTCTTGCTCTGTGGTTTCTCTCTCTCTCTTTTTTTTTTTTTGAGTCAGAGTCTCACTCTGTGGCTCAGACTGGAGTCAGTGGCATGTTCATGCCTACTGCAGCCTTGACCTGCTAGACTCAGGCAATCCCTCTCCCTCAACCTTCCAAGTAGCTGGAACCACAAGTGCATGCCACCGTGCCCGGCTAGTTTTTTTTAATTGTAGAGATGAGGTCTCCCCAAGTTTCCCAGGCTGTTCTCCAGCCTCTGGGCTCAGGCAGTCCACTCACCTCCACCTCTCAAAGTGCTGGGATTACAGGCATGAGCCACCGTGCCCAGCTGTTTTTTCATTCTTTTAAAGATACCTCTTCCCCTTTTATGATGCATAAGTAATCTATGGGTGAAGTCAGGGAGACCCTGTGAATGTTCTGTGACCCATCAACAACCCCACCCTCACCCTCACCCAGTGAACTTCCTTGAACACCCTCGGGCCTGTGACTGGGTGGTTTGCTAGACCAGGTAGGTGAGGGGGTGTAGAGGGGAGCACTAGAGAACCTAGAGAGGAACCTGGAGGTCACTTCAGGTCACTTGTGGAGGGCCAAGCCAGGCTTGAGCTCTGCTCAGACCAGGCTGAGGGAGTGGGTGGAGGGAATTTGTTGCAGGACTCCAGGTCCCCACCTGGCTGGGGACCCCTCAGCCCAGTCACTCACCTGCCCATCATGCTATCTCTGCCTCAGCTTATGCATCCCCGGCCCCAGGGGGGCAGAGTCGACGGTACCAGCTCCAGACATGTCCACACTGCTGCATCTGCTGAGGCCATGGGGCTGGGCTCCAGGAAAATCCCATCAAGGCAAATCCTGGACAGCCTCAAGGTTGGGGGGTATCTACCTGGTGACCAAGCCAGACTCTAACCCAGTCTCAGTCTAGTGAACTGGGAACAGAAAAAGTTCCCGGTGGCATCTCTGCCTGACAGAAAAGTCCTTGCAGCAACATGGGGCCAAAGGAGGCAAGCTCAGGGCCAGAAACTTCTGGAGACCCCTGAGATGGCCTCATCCTCCTGGGTCTGACTACCAGGGTTGCATTAGGAAAGGAGATGGGCATCAGGAGTGACAGGATGCAGTAGCTTCCTTGCATCTCTCAGGAGACCCTCTGGTGCCATGACAGCCTCTGCTTTTCTATGCAGATGAATGGAAGGAGGGAGACTGAGGACACTTCCTGGAGAGGCTCACAGCTTGCACTGCCAAAGGAGGAGGGCACAGAGGAGTGGGTGTCCCATGCCTGTCCCCAGGGGCTGATGTGTATTCCCCACTGTGTTGGCCACTGTCTCACTGGAGGGTGTTCTGTCATCCCCCTGATCCCGGCCAGTAGCCAGGGGCCCTTGCTCACTGTGCAAGACCCTGGCACCTGCAAGGTGCTCAGAGCTGGAAAGGTAGAAGAGAGGGCTGGGGCTGTCAGGTCACCAGGGAGAACATGGGGTGCACGCAGGGAGGGCCAGCAGGAGGCCGCCTGAGGGAAGGACTCATAAGCAGCCTGGAGCAGGAAGGGCAAGCAGCGGTGCTGCTTTGCAGGCAGGGTCCTAGCTCTAGTGTTCGCCTGCTATGTGCCATGGTCTCCCCACCTGCACTTTGGTGCTCTTTCTGGCTCCTGCCCCTTGGGACCATGAGACTCTTGTGAGGGAGGGGGTGAGCACCAGTTCCCAGACTCCGAGCTTCCTTTGTGAATATGATTGTGCAGGAAGAGTGTGCCTGCAATGTCCTAGAAAAACCAGATGACACACTCTGACCATGAATCTGCCCGTGTGCTGGGTAGAGCTCCTTGTGGCCAGTGTCCATGGGTTGGAGCTGGCATCAATCCTCATATTGGGATGGGCGCCAAATGAATAGAGCTGGGAGCAGAGGGTGACATACTAGCCCGCGAGCCCTCCTGGCCTGTCGTGTAAATGGGGTTGTGTGGGGCTTGCCAGGCCAGCTGGTGCACACAGGGCTCTGCTGCTTTCTCACTACACAGCAGAGTTGATAATGGAGACTGTCTGGCCGAAGCACCCAAAATATTTCCTCTCTGTCCCTTTCTATTTGCTACCCTCTGCCATAGGAGAACAAAGGACAGAATGCACTTTAGGTCCTCATGGAGGGAAAGAGCCCTTATTAAAACAGGTTTTTGAACTCGAAAGTCCATTTGTAAATGGTTAGATTTGGTAATGAGAAAAATGAAGTGAAAAAACAAGCCCCAAACCTGGACAGTGACAAGATAGAGTCAGATGCAAGCTTATTAAATACTGACAGCTTAAGGAAAATGCCACAAAAAGTGGGCACTGACCCCTGAGAGACAAGAAATCACACAAAAGTACTCAAACATGCATTGGCAGATGCTGTGGTCTGAGGGTCCTTGGTGTAGGGGAGTAGAGTGTGTGAAGAAGGGTGCCTAGTGGTGCTTCCATAATGTGTGGCAGTAGTGAGGCTGCTATGGCCCAGGTATCCTGATGCTCCACATGTCCTTCAAGTAGATGACAAACAGCCCCAGGTACACAGACATAAGGGTCTGTAATGCCAAAACCAAGTAGGCACAGCTGGCATGCCTCTCAGCAGAGCTGTATTGTACACAGTCAACAAACACTGAGCCATGCTCTGCCCAGACCTGGGCACCTACCCGTGAGGAAGCCATGCTCTGCTGGGCTCACGTTCCAGTGAGGAAGTGGTCAGTAGGGACGTAAGGTGGAGGCATTAAGAGGCATTTGGGATGGGAGTCTGTGGGAGTGTGGCAGGGAGATCAACTGGAGGGGTCCCTTCAGAACCCAGACCTACACAAGGTAAGAAGGGTGATGGGATCCAGAGGAAGGGCCAGGAGAGGGGTGAGTGAAGAAGATGGGGGCAGATGTGAGAAGGGAGTTCAGTTTTCCAGGCTAGGAGAGGAGGGGCAAGTGGAGGAGGTAATGGTGATGGTGGTGAAGGTGGACGTGGCTGAGGATGTAATGGAGGTAGCGGTGATGGTGATGGTAGTATGGTAGAGGTGGACGCGACGGAGATGGTGATGGAGATGATGGTGATAATGGACTGAGTCTTCTTTCCTTGAGGGAAAGGGAATGCTGTGAAGGAGGTCTTCCAGCAGCACTTAGGGCTCTGTAGTTACCTCTAGACTTTGCTTTAGTAGCAACAGAGGGAGAGAGGAGTTGTGGATGATTGGACCTCTGCAAACTGTTTTGTTCTGTTTTTCAAACAGAATACAACTGATATAACTTATAAAGTTTACCCATTTAAAGTAGACAGTTCATTGGTTTTTAGTATACAGTATTCACAGTTGTACAGCCTTTACCACAGTTGGTGTTAGAACATTTTCATGACTGCAAAAAGAAACGCAAGGTTTGGCAATTAAATTTGCAAACTCATCCTAGAAAAAGTGCTGCATACCTCATTACTGAATATCACTATGGTTGCCTTTGAAGTACTCCCCTTGGGAAGCTAGCCACCAACACTGGTGCCTAGTCCACCCGTCAAACCAATTTTGGATTTCTTTCTGGAATAGCCATGAGATCCGTCGTCTTACTACCCTTGATGTCCTGAATAGCATCAAGTGTCTTCCTTTCAGTATTTCCTTTATCTTCAGGTTAAAAAAAAAAAAAAGTCATCAGGGGCCAGATCAGGTGAGTAGGGAGGGTGTTCCAATAGTTATTTGTACAGTACTGCCAACATAAGCACACAGTGGCAAGCTTGCAAACTTAATTGTCAGACCACAACAAATGATGACAGTTCTGACAGCCATTCCAGAAAAAGAGTTCCAAAATTGCTTGGATGGGTGACCCAGGCACTGGCGTTGGTGGATAGCTTCCTAAGGGGAGTACTTAGAAGGTGGCCATAATGATATTCAGCAGTGAGGTATGTAGCACTTTTTCTAAACTGGTTCGCAAACCTAATTGTCACACCTCAAACTATACACATCAGCAGTCCCTCCCAAGCCCCTGGCAACCACTATGCATTCTGTCTCTGGATTTGCCTGTTCTGATGTTTTCTAGCTATGGAACCAAACGCCCCCTCCCCACGGTCATGGGGTCTTTGCAGCCCATATCTTAGAGAAATGTCAGCACAGACCTTGACTGTCCCTGAGAAGAGGTCAGTGCTACCTGGGCTTGTGTCAGTTTATCTTACAGAGTTTCCTCTAGAATTGGGAATGCCGAGAAAATGTCCTGCTGCAGCTATGGTCATGCATAATTGTTCCTCAACACGTGTGGGGAAGAAAAAGCCTTTCTTCACAGAGAGTGCTGGTGCTGAGCTTGGGTGTGTCTTTCTGTTTGCTTTTGCAGTGGTATCTGGATAGTACCCCCGACTGGCTCTGAGGGTCTTCAGGCCCAGGTGGGCCTTGAAAGGAGCTGGTCATGCTGAGTTCACACTCCTGCATGTCCATGGCTGGTGAGAACATCAGAGCCTCGACACCAGCAGCAGCGGCTCTGGCTCTGTAGTTTGGCTCATGGGTTCACCCAGGGTCACAATGAGATTACACCTCATCCTGAATTTTGGCTCCACTTGAATCTGGGGCTGCCCTGTAGGGGGGTTCAGCTGGGGTGGGGGTGAGTGGCCAGGACCTGAACTCTACTCATCAGTGCAGCCTCCTCCGCCCTGTGGCCACCTTCCAAGCTCACTTCTTTCCCCTCCAATGGGGCTCTGTGGGTGGGCTGTACCTTTTTCAGAAACTTTGGTGGTTGTCCGTATGTCCCCTTTTTTTCTTTGTTGGAGTCAGAATCTCACTCTGTCACCCATGTTGGGGTGCAGTGGCACCATCAGAGCTCACCACAGCCTCAAACTCCTGGGCTCAACTGCCTTGTCCCTGGATACAGATACAGTCTTGTCCCTTCTCTCTCAGCCTCCTGAGTAGTTTGGACTATAGGCATGTGCCAGCACACCTGGCTAATTTTTAAACTTTTTTTAGAGATGAGGTCTAGCTATGTTGCCTAGGCTGTTCTGAAACTCCTGGCCTCAAGCAGTTCTTCCACCTTGGCCTCTCAAAATGCAGGGATTGTAGGCATGAGTCACTGCACCCAATGTTTTTCTAAATACAGTTAAGTCCTCTACATACGAACCTTCAAATTGCAAACTTCCAAAGATGTGAATGTGCGCTCACATGTCCAGCCGTGTAAGTTAGTTCACATACATTGTCACTGGCATACATTGTCACATGTGTGCATCCTCTGCAAGTGGCTGTGCTTTTGTGTTCTAGTGTAGTATCTTTACTTCAAGTCCAGGATGTCTAAAAGCAAGCAGAAAAGCAGCAGTGATGTAGCTGGTACTGGATGGCCAATTGTTAGTCGGGTGCCTGGGCTAACTTTGTTGGACTTATGAACAAATTGGACCTACATACTTGCTCAGAATGGAACTAGCTCGTAAGTTGGGGACGTACTGTATACATTTGGCTTTAGCTTTTTGGCTGCAGTCCTGACACCTCAGCTTTTTGTGTTACTGGGATCTGAATATATATATATATTTTTTTTTTTTCTTTTTTTTTTTTTTGAGTTGGAGTCTCACTCTGTCGCCCAGACTGGAGTGCAGTGGCCACTCCTGGCCACTGCAGCCTCGACCTGCGGAGCTCCGGTGATCCTTCCGCCTCAGCCTTCCGAGTAGCCGGAATTACAGGCACGCACTACCATGCCCGGCTGATTTTTTTTTTTTTTTGAGTTGGAGTCTCACTCTTTCGCCCAGACAGGAGTGCAGTGGCCGCTCCCAGCCACCACAGCCTCGACCTGCTGGGTTCCGGCGATCCTTCCGCCTCAGCCTTCCAAGTAGCTGGAACTACAGGCACGCGCTACTACACCCAGCTGATTTTTGATTTATTGTAGAGATGAGGTCTCGCCAAGTTGCCCAGGCGGGTCTTGAACCCGCGGGCTCAGGCAATTCACTCACCTTAGCCTCCCAAGGCGCGGGATTACAGGCTGAGCCATCGAGCCCGGCTTGATTTTTTATTTATTGTAGAGATGAGGTCTCACCAAGTTGCCCAGGCGGGTCTCGAACCCACGGGCTCAGGCAATCCACTCACCTCAGCCTCCCAAAGCACGAGATTGCAGGCTGAGCCACTGAATCCAACCATAATATATATTTGTAAATGCTAAGTAGACCCTGCGTTTCTGGGATAAACTCAAATCTGGCATGATGTTATATCATGTATAGATCATGCATGGTTAGGATGAGTTCACTAGTGTTTCCAGGGTTTTACATCGGGTTTATCATTGACATTGTCCGGTAACTTTCCTTTTCATCCTATCCATGAATTTTTTTTAAATCCTGGTAATACTAGTCTTAATGAATTGTCCCCCCCCCACACACTTTTTATGTTAGTTTTCACCTATACAAGTGCACACATAAAGTTCTACTGATCCTAACAAGTGGGTTGCTTAGAAATCACCTGCAAGCAATCTATCCTGTGGCAGTTTTGTTCTCTGGTGATGTGTGTGCCCCTACCTGGTTCCATGTGTGGGCATCTCTGTCTCATCCATGTCCTCTGCAGGTTTTGGGGTTCTAGTACGGCCTGAGGCCCCCGGGGTATCTGGTCATCCCTGGTGCCTCGCCATTGGAACTGCCTTGTCCCTGGATACAGATACAGTCTTGTCCCTAGACACAGTCGCCTTTCTGGTACAGATTGGGAAGATGCTACCTTTGGAGAAGGCATCTGCCTCCCCCAGAAGCTCCCCAACACCTCCAGAGCTGCCCACGTCGGGATCAGCAGCCGGAGTCCAGCAGGAGGAACCTGAGACCATCCCTGAGAGGACTCCCGCCGACCTAGAGTTCTCCCGCCTGCGCTTCCGGGAATTTGTCTACCAGGAGGCTGCTGGGCCCCACCAGACTCTGGCCCGGCTGCACGAGCTTTGCCGCCAGTGGCTGATGCCCGAGGCACGCTCCAAGGAGCAGATGCTGGAGCTGCTGGTGCTGGAGCAGTTCCTGGGCATCTTGCCCGACAGGGTCCGGCCCTGGGTGGTGGCACAGTATCCTGAGAGCTGTAAGAAGGCAGCCTCCCTGGTGGAGGGCCTTGCCGATGTCCTCGAGGAGCCAGGTGAGGCTGCCCCAGAGGAGTGCATGCTTTAGAGGAGACAGGAAGGCATCCCAGGAGGATAGAGCCCAGGCCCCAGCCATGGCTTACCCAAGAGTGTTGAGATCCCTGCACAAGAGTGGCCGGGGATGAGCAGCCGCAAGCTGGGGAGGCAGCTCCTTGGCCGACTGGGCACCACCCTCAGAATTGCTTCAGAAGCCAGGCCTGCTGCTCCATCTTCTGCCTACACATCTGCCTTCCAGATGTAAAGAAGGAGGAACAGCATGGGAGAGCAGTCAAGGGCAAGGACCCTTGAACAAATATTTGGGCACTTTGTGGACTAGAGGTCTCCTTGTCAAAGATGGATGTGAGGGACAGGAAGGCATGGGCCTGGAGCCTGCAGGCCAGAGCCCTGGCTCAAGCCTGGCCCCTGCAGGCTACTGTGTGGTTGTCAGCTCTTGCCAACCTCACGGTCCAGTTCTCCATTTTAAACAGGGATGCTGCTGGGGTCCCCTGGCTCCTCCTCGGCACTGAGTGAAGGTGTATTTGAGAGGCACCTGGAGCCGCTGCTGTTACCAGGGCCTGCCAGCCCTGGCTCAGCCCCAGGACCTGGGGAGATCCCGGCGCCTTTTGAAACACGTGAGTGACCGGCCAGCTCAGTGGCCTCTGTGGGCCTTAGGTGGGTGGTAGGTGGGGCCTGAAGCTGGGGAGACAGCACAGGGGCCAGTAGAGGGGAGGCCTGGGGCCTCGGAGTCCCTGCTGTCATCAGGCCTTCTTCCTTTTGTTCTTATGAGTGTTAGAAGTATTGTTGTTCAGCCGGGCTTGGTGGCTCAGCCTGTAATCCCGCGCCTTTGAGAGGCTGAGATGAGTGGATTGCCTGAGCCCACGAGTTTGTGACCTGCCTGGGCAACTTGGCGAGACCTCATCTCTACAATAAAGCAAAAATTAGCTGGGTGTGGTAGCGCACGCCTGTAATTCCAGCTATTGGAAGGCTGAGGCGGAAGGATCACCGGAGCCCAGCAGGTCAAGGCTGCGGTGACCAGGAGCGGCCACTGCACTCCAGTCTGGGCGACAGAGTGAGACACCAACTCAAAAAAAAAAAAGAAGTATTGTTGTTCATGGCAGGGTGTAGTGTCTTATGCCTATTATCCCAGCACTTTGGGAGGCCAAGGCTGGAGGATCACTTGAGCCTAGGAGTTTGAGAACAGCTTGGGCAACATAGTGAGACTTTGCCTCTACAAAAAAAAATCAAGATATTACCTGGGTGTGGTGGTGCATGCCTGGAGTCCCAGCCACTTGGGAGGCTGAGCTGGAAGGATGGCCTGAGCCCAGGCAGTCGAGGCTATGATGAGCCGTGATAGTGTCACTGCACCAGCCTGGGCGACAGAGTAAGACCCTGGACTCAAAAAGAAAAAAAAGAAAGTGTTGTTGTTTATTAAATCCCTCTTAAGAGACCATGTAGCTCATACATACTCATCACAAATAGTAGAAAAGCACTGATGCTCAAAGGAAAAGGAAGCTTCCTTCCTGCTCTGCCCCCAGAAACATGTCCTGAGTGGCCTTCACATCTTTCTGCATGCCTCCGGTGGAGGACTGGGTGTCATCCCCGAGAGCATGGTGTGTGAACAGCACTTGCTGTTCACATGGTGTGGCCCCTCTGTGTTTGGTGGGGACCTGGTCCCCTAGTGCCCCCTGTGCGGCATCCTGGAGTTAGACCCTGTCTCTGGGATGAGGCTGCAGTGGCATGTCCTCAGGCATGTGCCAGTGACTGGGTCTCTGGTCAGTGTAGGGTGGGCTCCTTGGGGCCACTGGGCAAAGGGCATGTGAGTTGTATATTCTGCATGCAGTAGAAGCTTCCGCATGGTTTTCCAGAGTTTTCGTGGCTGCGCAGTGCCAGCATGGCAGGGCCTCACTCCCCCACATCTGGGCCAGCACCATGTGGTGTTGCTTTTAAAGATGTGTACCCATTCGGTGGGTACAGAAGGTGTTATCTCCTTCAAGTTCAAGTTTAAGTTGGTATTTCTGGGTCCCCTGAGCTGAGCTCCTTTGTGTTTTCCCCTTGGCTGTTCTGCTGTGTAAGTCAAGGCCAGATCCAGTATCTATTGAGCCTGGGGACCTGCTGTCACCTGATGCACCGGGCCAGTGCAGGGAGGCAGTGGGCTCTCTTCGAGTGTTTGATGTGCCCGGACACCAAGTACACATCTCCTCAGCTCTGCTCCCCTTTCCTCCAGCCTGGCTGGCACCGGGCCCCCTGCTTCCGGAACAGGGGAGTGTCAAAGAAGCAAAGACTGAAGAGGCCAGCCCTGCCACAGCTGAGCCCAAGGTTGGTGGCTCGGGGATTCTGGGCGAGGGACTGGTCTTGCCCAGCGGTTCATGGGGCCTGTTCCACCCTGGCTTGGTGGTGTCTCCCCATAGTGAGTGCCCTGCCAGCCCTGACTGTCCTTGGTGCCCAGACCACAAAACCCGTTCCATTGGGAAGCCGAAGGTGGAATCTTTTGAGGCGCTTGGTGGGACTCAGGAGGAGGGGCTGCCTTGGTGCTGCAGTGGGTGGGCACCCCTGGCCTGGTGCCGTTCCAAACAAGCTCCCATCCCCATGGCGTGCGGGAGGTCTCAGCATGGTGCTGCCCTTTCAGAAGTCCTTTCCGGAGGAGCCTCAGCCCCTGGGTGAGTGGGGCCACCTGGACCCTGCCGAGGAAAACCTGAAGAGCTACCGGAAGCTGCTCCTGTCGGGTGAGGCCAGGTCCTGTGGGTCCCATGGGGGATTCTGACCCCCAGGGCCTTTGCCAGGGATGCTGTGGAGTTTTAAATGTGTTTGAACTTGAGCTTGCTTGCCGAGGCCCCCACCCACCCTGGTCCACACGTTTGAGTCCTGACCTGGCACTGAGGCTTTGAGTGTGCTTCCACCCTGCCTGTAGGATTTGAAGCCTCCAAATGTGGACAAGCTTCCTGGCCCTGTGAGGTGATTCCACCCTCCTAGGTGGAGGTGGGGCCTCAGCCACATGGTTTGGTACAGGGTCTTCCCTCTCTTTCATAGACAGTCTTGCCCAGAAGCCCTCCTATGTAGGGAGGTCCCAGCACAGACTTCTGAGTCCTCATGGTTTTGATCTTGTGTCTGCATACCTTTAACTTTGCTCCCTGAGCCCCCTTCTGCCTGCCCCTTTGCCCTCGCAGCCTTGCCAGTCCTCTTCTTTGTCTTCACTGTGGAGCCTCTGACAGGGAGGTGGCTTTGGGGGTTCAAGCACAGAGAAGAGGGCTGGCCTACAGTCTGGCTGTGGCCAGCCCAGAGACATGAGGCCCATTGCTACTTTTTGTCCCAGTGCCTCTTTTAGGTTTGTTTTTTTTTTTTTGGCTTTTCATCCCACGCAGGGTATCAGCTTTCCCAGCCTGATGCCGCCTCCAGGCTGGACACAGAAGAACTCCGGCTGGTGGAAAGAGAGCCTCCAGGAGGTGGCCTACCAGGTGAGGGTTAGAGGGACAGTCAGGGCTGGGTGGGCTGTGCTTTTCTCTGGAATGCAGACAAGGGCTCCTCACAGCTCCATTGGCCTCAGCAAAGACCTCAACTTCAACTTCACTCCTTGTCCTCCCACCCACCCTGTCAGAGCAAGGTGAGAACTCAGTTATTTCCACAGTCTCCTGTGCGTAGCAGACCGCTGCAAATGTGGTCACCTGAAACAAGGACTGTGTTAATTTTCATGGTCCTGTGGGGTGACTGGGCTCAGCTGGATGATTGTTCCACTCCAGTCACCCAGAGGCTTGGCTGTACCAGGCCTCACCCACACACAGACTGGGGCACTGGCCTTCTCTGGGGTTAAGGCTGTGATGCGCCCTTCTCATGGTGCTTCTCTAAGAGGTGTGTGGGCTTCCTCACAATTGGGGCTGAACCCCAAGGGAGCACTCAGGAGGACAGGCACTCACCAGCCTCTGCATTGTTCGTTCTGATGTCCCATCAGCCTCAAGGGTCTCACAACCAAGCTGCGGGTAGAGACCACCCACAGGCCTGGTTCCCTGGAGCCCAGGTTCATGGGCCACCAGGGTAACTAGTAGTCGACCACAGCAGGCTCCTTTGGCACCAAAAGGCCCTTCCTGTCTATAGCCTCCATTGTCAGAGTCACCTGGCATCCCAAGGTGACTGTTCCAGGCCCTCAAGCACAGCAGTGGCCAGCAGGAGCACCCACAGCTGAGGCCCTGGCAGGTGTGGGCATGGCGCCTTTGTGCAGAGCAGCCTAGAGCTGACAGTCTCGGTTCCAGCAACGTTCGGGGACTGAGAAGAAGGCAGATGGGACCGTAGCCTCCTAGACCAGCCAAGCTGTGCCCCCCAGCTGTGCACCTGCCCCAGGGTGGGCTGGGGCTCACCTTCCCACCCCTGTTCCAGGTGGGCAGCGGCAAGAGAGTGCAGGGGGCACACTGGAGAGGTGTGCTGGGGATACCCCTGGCGAACCATCACCAGGCGCTGTAGAGGACCAGGAAGGACAGCCTGGGAAGGCTCCGGAACCCCAGGATGCCCAGGATGGGGAGGCCAGCCCCGCCACCGGACCCCTGCGGCAGTCAGTCATCTGTCAGCCGGCCCAGGACAAGGGCGCAAGGCTGGCCTCCCCCGCGCAAGGCCAGGGCACCAAGAGGCCCCACCCGGACGACACGGACGGGCCTGGCCCTGAGCATGACCCCAGCGTAGGGCTCCCAGCCAGGCAGGAACCCCCAGGGCAGGACCCAGGCCCCTCTGCACCTCGAGGTGCACTCTACACTTGCGTTGAGTGTGGGGCAGCCTTCGCCTGGCTGTCGCACCTCATGGAGCATCAACGTGACCACAGTGGCCAGCAGCGCCACGCGTGCCCAGGGTGCTGGAAGACCTTCCACTTCAGCCTGGCCCTGGCCGAGCACCAGAAGACCCACGAGAAGGAACGGGGCTATGCACAGGGCAGCGCCTCTGGCCCCCAGCCCACCCTGCACCAGGCCCCGGCCGGGCACCTGGAGCACATGGAGGGCGAGGCCTTCCCAGCGCCCTCCGAGGCACAGAGGTGAGCGTGGATACCAGGGCGGCCGTGGACGTGAATGCTTGTCCGCGTGCCCATGCAGCCTGGCAGGCCCTAGCCTCCCCGAAAATGCCCTGGGCCTCCCCAGGGAACATTGGTGTGAAAGAGACTATGCTTCAGTCGCAGCCATCATAGTGCCACCCTGCTAGACCATTCGACGTTGTGCAAAGTGTAGCACTGCTTAAAGTGCGTCATCTCTCAGTGCTTTTGAGTTATCCTCGTCGGATTCCTCCTGTTTGCTCCCAGGGTTGCTCATGTGGACACCTTGTCAGCTGTTAAGCCTTTTTCCACCTACCTGATGTCAAATTCACTTCTGAATCTGCAAAAGCAGAAACTTTCCTAGTTTAACTTACGTGTCTTCAAGAGACTTACAAAGATCACACAAACGCAGCCTAATGCAGGGTTTCAGACCGTGGGTCCTAGTCCTTTGGTGGTGAATTATGAAATCAAATCAGTGGGTGGCCACCAGCATTGCAGGCAGTGACATAGCTCAAAATAGGTCAGAACACATCATGGAGTAAAGGCAAATACTGTTTGGGGAAACTTTTTATCCACACATTGAAATATGAGAGCTAGTTGCAGTGTAAAATGTATTTCTTACTGAGGGGTTGTGATCAAAATAGGTTGAAAACACTCATACTCTGTTTGCTTGAGCAAAGGGTACTGAACTTGGGCTGTAGAAGGTGATCTTTTAATGTTTTGCATTTATTCTCAGATTATTGCATTGTTCCACTGCCTGCGCATACATTTAATTGCTCCCTGTAGATGCAGAAGCTGGTGCCTCTTTCTGTCACTGTGTTTGAGCAGGCATTCTGTTGTAATGACCCCTATCCTATCACAGAGGCTTAACGTAATAAATATTTATTCACTCACAGTCTGCTGTCCTGTGCTGTTGTGTTTTGTGGGAGAGGCCCTCTGCTCCATGCAGTGGTTCAAGGATCCAGGCTCCCTCCCTGTTATGTCCCACTCTTCACTAGACCCTTGGAGTGTGTGGAAAGGCCTCACTAATTCACCCAGAAGACAAAGCAGTCACTTCCACCCGCATATCCTTAGAGAGAAATGGTCCCAGCCCCAGTCACTTGGAAGGGCCTGGGAATTGTCTATTCGGGTGCCTACCTTGCCAGTTTCTAAGTTTAGTTTCCCCCTTGGCCTGTCCATTCCCAAACTCCAAGCTGATTGTGGCTCTGGTAAGACAAAGACCAAATGGACCCTCCCCATTCTCATACCCAGCCTAATCCACGAGCTCACCTACCCCCATGATGCCTTCCTGCTCAGCTCTCAAAGCCCTGACACCCCATCTCTGCCGTTTCCCATCTCATCACATTTAGTGCACGGCTAGATGCTTGTGCCGTTTAAAGTATTACTTTTAAAGATTTTATTAGGAAATGATTTCAAACTTATTTTTAAAAGTCACAAAAATAATAAAAATAGCACGAAGAGTAGCCCCATGTCCTCACTCAGACCCACCTGTTGTTAACCTTTGACCACATGCCCATGATGGGTATGTACCTTCCTACCCCACCTGGGTGCTGGGGAGGCCCCTTTTGCTCACCTGGTTAGAGTGTCCACTTGTCCACTGTGTTTTTAACTGTCTTTCTCCTTTTAGCTACAAAGCAATCTGTGGGACAGGGCTCCAAGGTCGTGCGAGTTTTATTAAAACGCTCCTTTACGATTAGCATCTGCTGAGGATTCCCGCCCAAACCAAGCAGACACTAGTCATCAGCTGGGGTGGTGACTTCAGCCCCAGCCTTCTCTGTGCTGACCAGCTGACAACCTCCCTTCTCCTCAGGGTTTTGTCTTTATTATTTAAATGGACTCTTGGCTTTCTATGTTTTCTTTTTTTTTTTTTTTTTTTTTTGAGTTGGAGTCTCACTCAGTCGCCCAGATTGGAGTGCAGTGGCGGCTCCCGGCCACCGCAGCCTCGACCTGCTGGGCTACGGCGATCCTTCCGCCTCAGACTTCCAAGTAGCTGGAACTTCAGGCGCGCACTACCACGCCCGGCTAATTTTTTTT